ACAAATAACTGTAGTGCTATTGCTAATGCACACACATTCTACAGTTCACTACAGCATGTGCTAAGTGTTCTCAGTCTGCTGTGTCTTCACCAGTCGTTGCCTGGTGATGGGTCCCAACAGTGTTCTCTGCTTCTGTGCTCACATTCTTACCGGCTGGCGACTGTCTCACAACTGACCGATTGCCTTAACTGCCCTGCTTAGAACATCTCGGCATGGACTGCTTAGAAAACACTGTTCCTCTGTTTCACTTGTGTCTGAATGCCCACATTATCACTACTCATCCATTGCCAAGCAGTGGGTCTACATGTCACAATATAATTCTAAATGTGAGAAATTTAGTGTCCCAGCCACTGAAGGAATCTCCAATATTTCATGGATACTGAAGGTTCATTGCTGTATTCACAAGTCTGCATCTAGTCCCTGTCTGAGGCAGATGAATCCACTCCACACCCTGGCATCCCATTGCTTTAAGATGCATTTTAATATCTTACCATGCATGCTTAAGTCATCATAGTGGTCTCATTCCTTCAGGTTTTTTTTACAAAACTCAGGTATGAATGACATATATTCTGATACAGTGAACCCTGTTTTTGATGTACTAGTTGACCTTAGCAGAAAAGGCTGTATTCTGTAACACTCCATCCATGCACCTTGTCATACATTATTTAGTTCAGTTCATCACATCAAGATGTGTTGGTAGACAGCTAGTAGCCAGTCAGTTCTAAAGGGTTCTTATGTCAGTATACTACACTTGAGTTTGCTGGATTTCCGGACTTCTTCCAAGCTCATGCTGCTTGCCACCTCCTTATTTCTGTCAGTTCCTTGCCTGGTTTACTCATCGACGTAGATGGAGGCCACATGGTCCACTGAAACACTGGTGGACTTGTACTCAACTACATGGTGTTATGATCCAGAAGATTGTAGTCTTCAAATTGTAATCTGTTCCAAACAAATCGAAGTACATATAGCACTAATGTAAATTTTTTTTATGGAAATATAAAATAAATGAGTTAAATAAATAATGCCAAGTTCCCTATTAATATTAATTCATATGCGCTTGTAATTAATAGTTGTATAAAATAACTGAATTGGATGTTATGAGGAGAATCTCTCATGGGTCAGTGTGCTCGTTTCTTATATGTGGAATGGCTCTTCAGTCATGGAGCTAAAAAGGTGCCAGAGTGACTATTTATATTTAAAAAAAGGCTTAAAACAGGCTGCTGTAAAGAAATTTTTATGAGCATAAAGGAATTGTCTGCTCTCTCTTATGCAAGGAAATATTATATATAAAAGAAAAGGGTAACTTCTACATATCGGATATACCTACTTATGGTACGTGAATTACCTTGTGACTGCTAAATTTTATAATAGTGAGAGGTTCTAACTTTTATAACAAACTCTCTGTCTGTATAAAATAAATTAGATACAATTGCCTCTTTAACAAAAAAAAATGAAGAAAACTCGTAGATGGGTATAGTTATTTCATAAAAAGTTGATATACGATAAGAATATAAGCGACAGTATAAAAGTTGTTTTATAATGCGTGTAATGTAAATTGTTCCATCAGTAAATATAAAACACAATTTTTATGCTGTTAGTTAAATGTATGCCTTCTTTTTAATTGCACACTCTGTGATTAAGTAAATAGTTTTATGGTGTATCCTCTCTGTTTCATAGATCATACCTGTTTGATATTCTGATACTGTTATTTTTGTGGCTCATCTTACATCATTGTATATTGATTTATAGAGTGAATAAATAATAATCATTAATCTGCAAGGTAATTTGGTTCCAAGTTAACACAGTTCACTTTGTGGCTGCAGGTAGTGAAATCTGCATGAAAGTCATAACAGTATTTGTCTCTTTTCTGTTACAAGGAATAAGCACGTATGTGCGCGCGCATGTCTTTGTCTCCATATGTTTATGTATGTCAGCTTAAATCTAGATAAAATGTTATGCTAGGCACACATTCAGCTGCAGATAATGGACACAGTGGAACCCAGGGCAGGGTAGATTTTCATGTCTGTGGTTTCAAGTATGAATGACCATACATGACAGTGCAGGTCAAGGCAACAGACATGTATCAACCTGTGTGGTCAAGGTGCAGTTTGCTGCCCCCACACATCACATGGTCACACAGTGTGCAAGGTATCTCCCTGTTGTGAAGTTGAATATATTGCAATAATGGAAGGAACTTTGATAGGATTAGGAATGAAAGAGTTGTGCAATCCCAGGCTTTCTCATTACATGAAGACAAAGTTCAAAAATAATATCTTGAATGGAATTGCTAAATCTGATTCTGAACTGAGGTCTAGCAATGAATGTGCCAACCTTGACATAGGGAGCTGTTGAGCCAAACATATATGACTGAACCATATCTGAGTGTGCATATATTTCTTCATGTTCTGCTCTGTGTGCGCTGTGCTGCTGTGCTCTGCCTTGCCCTTCCTTGCTGTGCTTCTGTGTCTCAATGTACACCTAGGCTTAGGCATGTCATATTGACACTAACAGTGTTCTCTGATTCATGCAGTTCTGGAGATCCAACCACGCAGCAAAATTGTACAAAAGAAAAACTCTCTTCAACAGAAGACATTAGTAAACAAGTGACAAATAATCAGTTGTGCAAGACATGCAGTGAAAAGTTTAGTGATGCTGAAGTATTTACGGATCATTTTCTTCTTACAACATTTGAAGATCCAAATGTGTGTAAAGTGTGTCAGAAACCTTTGGGTAAATCTAGCAGTCTTGGGAAACAGGCCAATATGCAGACTGTATCGAAACCTTTTGTATGCAAGGAATGTAACAAGCAGTTCAGTCATCACAATTACTTTAAATTACACTTGCTCATTCATACAGGGGAAGGACTTCTTGAATGTCACTTGTGTGGCAGGAAATTTCTTCGAGCTAGTAACCTCAAAGACCATTTAGTTACACACACGTCTGACAAACCTCATGAGTGTAATGTATGCCACAAGAAGTTCAACCGTTCAAGTAACCTCAAAGAACATTTACGTATCCACACAAATGAAAGAACTTACGAATGTCCTGAGTGCCATAAATTATTTTCAAAGCCTCTGTACCTTAAAAGACATTCACTTAAACACACTGGAGAGATGCACCATGAATGTAATATATGCAGCAAGAAGTTCAATGATCTTAGCAATTATAAAGTGCACATGCTTATCCACACAGGTGAAAAACGTCATGTTTGTAAGGTGTGTAACAAAAGATTTACAACACCTGGTTACTTGAAGAAGCATGGCGGTGTACACACAGGACAGAAACCCTACTCATGTGAGATATGTCATCAACGATTTACTCAGCCTCACAGTGTAAGAAAGCATTATCTGATTCATACTGGTGAAAAGGCCCATGCATGTGAGATATGCAATAAGAGGTTTAATACAAGAAGTAATCTGAAGTTGCATTCCTTGGTTCATGTTGAAGAAAAACCACATTCCTGTAATGTGTGTAATAGAAAGTTTGCAAGATCAAGTAGTCTTAAAAAACATTCCCTTAAGCACTTTTGAAATGCCATAATGTATGAAAGGTTTGCAGGAAGAAATTCAATGACATGTTTGTTTTCATGGGATAATGTATTGATCTTAGAGTTGATACAAATAAAGCTACTTAACCATACATACTGTTCTGGCTTTGAACATTTTCCTGTGTTTCTGTCATAACAGTGAACTTTGAGGTACATTTTATTTGTAAAATTAAGAGTGGAAATGGTTGAGAATGAAGTAAATGGTACTTTAATTACTTATGAAATTACATTCTCAGACAGGAAAAGCAATTGAAATTTACATGTGCTGCATAGCAGCTTACCCATGTTTTCTTGTATTGCATTGAACACGGGTTGGATTTCACCTGTTTCTTCAGGCAAACGCTGGGAAATTTCCTTAAAATAGGCTATGACCTCTTACACATCCATTCATTTGATGCTCAGAAATTGAAAACTCTTCATTAAATAACCATCATATCAGGATCATTCATATCATTGGTAATGAATGGATCCAGAAAATTGTTTGTTGTCATATTTTATCACAGCAATGAATTTTAACACACTTACCTGTAGGGTGTATTGGTGAACTTGCGATCATGACAAAATTTTGGGTGCTATCAGAGATGGGGAATGTATTGATCAACTGACTGACTATTAGCTCTTCAAGAAGGACTGCTTCATGTTGTCGAACGATGAATTGGAAAGGATATGGTGGAAGTAATCGTGTCCTTAGGATATTGCAGTATCAAATATGCCTAGAGTATTTCTAAAAAGTGGAGAAACGTGTCAGGCTTCTCAGTCTTCATGTTGAGATGTGAACCCAGAACCTCCTAAATATGTAACCGCACTAGCCATACAACCATGATGTTCAGTGCAACAAGTTTGTCTTGATTTATGAACCCCAGCTTATTTCACAGGACCATTTCCATCCTCTGTGAACGTCATCGTTCACTGAATTCCAACCATTTTCTCTTCTCTCTTTTGCATCCCTTCCTTTCTAAATTAAATTCTCTGGTACCCAGGAGGACTGTAGCCTGTTCTGACAGGAATTTCAGCATTCTAGCAGGTATGCTAGGCATTTTAGAAAAAAATGTAAAAACCTAACAAAAAGTGAAGATATGCTGCTTGTGTTAGTGAAACCCATATAAACTAATGCTTCAGTTGGCTATACCACACACAGCAGTGGGGTAACAAGTGATTGTGGGCCGTATATAGCTACTCTAGAAAATATCTATACTTAGTTCAAACAAAATATATTCAAAGCAAAAAGAATTCTCCTTCTCGGCCTCAAAAACCCAAGGATTAAATAGCTTTTTTCCATAGTAACTGAATGTACTTTATACATACCAAAATGCATGTGATTTTTTTCTTTCATTATTTAATGATACGCCCAGTATCAAAACTGTAGCATCAGTGATAGGAAGAGTAATGAATATGGAACAGTCTGTGGAATAAGAATTGACGGGGAAGATTGAGGTACTGAGGAAAAATAGCTCAGTGCCATTTTGTCCACCATAAATCATACATGACCTGTCCTGGGATTGAACCCAGGCTGCAGCTTTAATAACTATGACACTATGCTCACAGTTGTTTTCTTAAGGTGTTGAGCTGCAATAAACTGAATGTAGAGAAGGCTCCACTGAGCTTTCTAATGGCCAGTTTTATGTAAATATGTTCATCAATATCTAAATTTTTATCTATTTGCTGATTTGTTGGGGATTACATTACTTTCTTGCTATGCATGAGAGTTTTAAAATTAGTAAAATTTATTAATAGTATCTGGATATCATCTGTAACTTGACTGATACACACAGCCCATAGTGTTTCCATGATGCATAGTATGGAAAGGTAAGGGTTGGATACAGTTATTATACATAGTTTGATATTACATACTGAAATATCACCTGATCTTCAACACAAAAAAATGCAGCACTTAACTGTATCAGTCCACAAAATGTGTCCGCCATCTGTTTATATTACCTGTCAGGGAAATACTCAGGAAATGCTTTCACATAAATCAGGAATGAAGATGCCTGATAAGACATTATAGCATGCCCATGCAAAGAGATTCATTATCGGGATAACAGAAATCATGGGGAAGATACTTTTTTACATTCTGGTAATAAGGGTAAATTAGTGTTAACATATAGAAGCAACATATCTTTGTGTGTGTTTAGACCACTGTTATGTATAACTAGCATGAAGTCCATTGAAATTTCAAAGGATACGTACCTTACCACAAGAACTGGAGAAGTCCTGGAGAGACATTAATACCAAGATAATAACTTGATAGAATAACAATATGTACTAAGCAGTACTGCTGTGAACGTTTTGACAAAGGCGGACACTGAACTAGTAACTCATTTGTACATTCCACTGTCATTTTTTGCTGCAATTCATAGCTACATGCTAACATAGCATAGAAAGGGTCAACTTCTTATATAGTGCATAAATATACTAATTTTCCTGGGAAAGTAGAGATAATAAAGGACTGACATACTGAAATTCAATTCAAGTAACATTTACTGAAACCATTTTTATATGAAGGTGGCATCGGTACATTTACATTTATTTTCACTTCATGGATCCAATCACTTCCCTGTAGGGCTGGATATGAAACATGTCACACATTACAAATTCTTGATGGCTACACATCATACATTCTTGAACCAATAAAATATATATACTCGTAATCAGGCCTCATGTAGACAGCACAAGTTGTCAAGACAACACCCACAGGCCATGGAAAAACCACTGTCACATTCGACCCTGAACAAAATCCCTCATGTTTCCACCCATAACAACTCTATGCTGCACAATTGCACACCTTGCCATTCCACGCATTTCTGGCTAGCAGGAAAAAGAAGCTGTGGATAGATGTAGCTAACTAATTAGGGGGAAGACCGCTCAGCTATAAAGAAAGCAGTCTTCTTGGATTTGGCACCGTGTATATGTGGTGTTAACCGACGTTTCGGAGGAATGTATCGCCTCCATCTTCAGGGTGGAAGGAAACGTCGGTTAACACCACATATACACGGTGCCAAATCCCAAAAGACTGCTTTCTTCATAGTCACCGCCGTGAAAACCTAAAATCTTACGCTCAGTCTTGGGGTAGCGTTCCCACCTGACTCAAGGTACGCGGGTTCAAACCCGGCGGAGGTCGTGGAATTTTTAAGTGCGGAAAATTTCAGGGAACAAGTCCTCCGGGAGGGACTTTAAGCCGTGGGTCCCATGTCGTAGATTTACGGCACGTAAAAGAACCTCATGTCTCTAGGAGACCTCTTGAGCTAAATTTGGTCAAAAGTTTCCCGCCCAAAGTAGTTTCCAAAGCCTCCGGTAGATGGGGAAGTATTAGGTACCACTGCCAGAGGAGGGGCGACCTCTCTGACAGAAAGGCACTAACTGTTAGATACCACTGCCAGTAGAGGATCGGAACCTCGCTGGCAGAAAGGGGCTGATAGCGAGCACCAGTACCGGTAGGGTATGGAGACAGTAGAAATTAAAAGGGGGACGTACAATAGACTATCAGTCGCGATGCATGGGGAAACCCATCCCCTCAATACTGAATAGCTCAGGTACGCCGTACCCAAGGTATCTCCATGCTCCTACGCACCCACTAACGTAGTTACCATTCTCACTGAAACTGCTACTGAGTAAAGGTGTACTTTTGTCAAATGAGCTATATGTTATTGGCTTTCCTACTCTGCTTTCTTACTGTATACGAGAGAAAAGTGCAGTGCCCCGTAATAGAAGCCTCCCCATATTAAGGGTTTCTAACATTCCATACATTTACATTAATATGCATAGCAATTTATGATAATGAATTGATGCCTTCTGTTCTTATAGGAGATTTACATTTCATGATGCACTAAAACTCTTACCTGTATTATAAAGAGTAATCTATATTAGGCGAATTTACCCTGCCTATACGCAACAAAGCACAGTTTCAGCATTTCAGTGAACATTATTGCGTGTAACAATATAGTCGTTCACGTTTATATCTAGACATCACACGATAAAATACATCGCTGACCATAAGGGCCCATGAGATTAGATTATTAGGAATTTCGGAGAGAGAGAAAAGAACTTCGGTATGTCTATTTTGGGTTCCCTTTCTGACCATGACATAAGGATTTTTGAATGCCAACTCAGGCAGACGACTTGATTCTATTATCGGGCCTTCGGGGGGGGGGGATAATTACAGGGGCGCGAGGCTGCCTATATTGCTAAATTATCTTTAGATTCGATTGATATATAAGGATTTATTAATTTCTGATTTGTGTATGATTGCTTCGATGACTGAGTTAATTGTCTGCATTTTAATATTGTTCACAAGAAAGACTGAATAACTGCGACATTTCTTTTTATATGAAGTCATGTTTTATAGTCCTGCTGTTACATATTTTTACAGTTAAGTGATCACGTCCTACACTTATAACTTAGTTTGAGTTAAGATTTATACGTCCTGCTGTTACAACTTCTTATAGCTAACTGATTACGTTTTACTCTTTATACTTGTTGGGATTAAGTGACATTGGAATATTCATATTTCAACAACGAGCTCAAAGCTTCAGGTAGCCAAGACATCATAATTTCCTGTTTGAATCTTTAACCAATCCGATATATAAGCCAAGTATTTACTCGACTAAATATTTGCTGTCCAACCAACCTGTGTTAGATACTTCATTTCTGAAAGTCACACAGGTTTTATTCAATTTAGACTTGAAAAAACATTAGCCCATTAAGCACAAAATCGAACATGTTAATCTGAACATCTGGTAGAAATTAATTTTGTGTCTAAAGTCTTAAAATAATGTTCGTGACACTGAATTTTGTAAGAGGCCCAACACAGATCCTTAAAGACCGATCAGCTAATAGAAAAAGTTTGGTATACGTTCCACTTGAAATAATCAGCCCAGTAACGTCACAACAACTAAAGAAATAGGTCCCTTGATTGCCAGATCCAGAATTGGCGACTTCCATAACTGAGATTGTTCAAGAAATAATTAAAAGTTTTGCACTGATCCAACATGTAATTTTATGGGTCACCAGATACACAGTACACTGCATTAGAAACCGCAAAACTCTTTTTGAGAAATATCCCTGAATTTACCATTGGCCACCGTCCATAAGATCATCACTGCTTCCAACTAGACAGTTATTTGAGGAGGATCAGGGAGCTCAAGTGGAGTCGGTATGAAAGTTTGAATACATTTGTCTCAGCCACTTCCACACCTCCATTTCAACCTTTTCGTCATCAGAGAAACGTTTACTACCAACGTGGCTACTTAGCGGACCAAGCAGATGGAAGTCTCTAGGGGCTAATTCTGGGCTGTAAGGTGGATGCACATTAAGTACCCACTGAGTTCTTGAATTATCTCCGGTGATTGCTCGGGCTGTATGAGGTCTGGCAGTACCCCTCTTTCCAGTTGGCCTGGACATTTTCTGTGAATTGCACCGCGAAGTAACCTTAAAGTTTTTGGTCGAAGGTGAACTGGAATGTTTCCATTGCGCCGAAGCACGCTTTGATTCGAATTGGTAGTGATACATCCATGATTCATCCCCAGTATGAGTAACAATCCTTTTAAGCATATCTTCTCCTTCATCTGCAAACCATAAGAGATGTTGCAAGGACAGATCCATTCGGTTAATTTTTCTCATTCCTTCAGTTCTCTAGGCACCAATCATGCCCACACTTTCCGAATCTACGATAGATCATACTCGTACATTATAGTGTATGCTAAACCATGGGAACACCCTTTTGCAGTTGCTACGCTGTTTATCGGTGTCCTCTTGTCAGTTCGAATCAACACTTCCCCCCGTTGGACAGTTTCGCCTGTAGCATTCTCAACAGGGTGACCTGACCGGGCATCATATTCGATTTTCGAATGCCCTTGAGAGAATTTCTAGACCCAGTTCTGATCCTCTTTATGCAACAAACGCTTCCCAAAGTAAACAGGAAACATTTCTTCGTGAAAATCCTTTCGTCACCCCCAGAAAAGCATAGTGAAATTCTGTTCTTCGGTAGTTCACACCTGAAGTACGGTCGCCATTTTGACTACTGAAACCAACTTCTGAACATGTGCGTGCGCGTCTGCTACCTAGACTGTCAAGAAGCTTGACTGTGCTGCCCTAGTGATATACCGTATTTACGCATGTATAGGCCGCACATTTTTTGCCAAAAATTCAAGAGGAAAACTGGGGTGCCGCTTATATTCGAAATATTCGAAATCACACTTCATTTAAAAAAATTATATTCATAATTAGTAATACAGGGTGTTCTACTCCAGAAATAATATTCCAAGAAAATTATTTTTTCTATAATTTCTGTCTGAAAATTGTGCTGCGGCCTATACACGCACGCGGCCTATACATGCGTAAATACGGTAGGTAGAAAATCTACTGCGTCCATTACAGCTGTTTCATTTCCAGTTATGACGTGTTTACTGACTCTCCCTCATAGGTAAAATTTTAGGAAGAGGATCTCAGTCAGCTGATGATGGTGGTAGCCATAATCAGCGCTTTCATAGCCCTTCTGGGAGTGCGGAATTTGACCCTTCAATTCAGACCAGTGATGCAGTGTTACAAACCGATGAGCAACGCGGTATTTTATTTGTGAGTCATTATAATGTCGCTGCCTGTAGAACTGTGTTGTATACTAGTGAAGACTGTAGAAAGGCCCGTCCACGAGTTCGTATTCATTCCAGTGCATATTCACAGTAAACTAAAAATAAGTAAAGTGAAGGTATCCCTGTAACAGGCCCTGGAGGCCCATAAGGTTGTGAGATGTTGAGGTTCCCAAATTTTCTAGACAGTCAGATCATAGATGGCGGCAAGGTTGTTAGCCCTACGCGCCGGCCGCCCTTTACCACCCAGAATAATCCTGGAGCTCATTTCCGTTAGAGGCTGAGTCGACCCCAGGGCCATAGTGCGGCTGGAAGGATTAGGTCAATTGAAAAAATCCAATGACCTCATCAGGACTTACACCCGCGATCTTCCGGCTTGTAGCGTAGTGCCTCAACCAACTACGCTACTGCGTGCCCCCTGCGTATTCACAGTACAACTTGAAATATCCAGAACTCATCCAGCGCACGTTTAAACAAAGCGAAGAAAAAACTGCTTTGCTTTTTTCTAATAGAATTAAATGCGCATATCAAAGCGAAGAGATTGACAAGGTCTTTCCAATTACCATTGCAAACGAAGATACGAAGGAGTGATTCTTGGCTGTATGACATAGCTTATGTAATTGCGATAAATTTAAACAAGCCTTCCAGGAACAATTACGTAATGATCACTTAATGCAAGAGGCTTGTGCCATTATCCCGAGAGGTACGACAAGCAGTCAGGAGAATCCGTGGCGTCTCATTGTTCAAAACGTTCAAGGGACTTTCCTTCAACCAAAGATTTCAGAACGGGAGCAGGTGGTTACAGTAACTCAGAAGTCATCCCTACATACTTTGGCATTGAAATCTCCTAACAAAAATTTCGTATCGTATGTATAGAATTTATCGAACACATGTTCTAGTTGTGTAAGTTTTGAGGTTTTCACGGCGATGACTATGAAGAAAGTTGTCTTCTGGGTATTGGCGCCAAAACCCAGAAGACGACTTTCTTCACATGTTCTAGTTCTTCGTAGAACCTGTCGTTTACACCATCAGTTTTATCTCCTGTTGGGGCATGAACATGCAGAACGATGATATCACACAAGCGACCTCTTAGTATTATGTATGGCATCATATCACTAACAAACTCTACCCACTTAACTGCTGTACCTGTACCTAACTCATGATTCTCACTCCACTTCCAGAGAAAAATGTATATTCGCCTCCTGGTTCGGTGCCACCTCCGTCCCATCTGACCCCCTGCACTGCCACTAAATCTAACTTATATTTTGAGATTTCTTCTGCCACTGCCATGAACGAACCTGCCCTGTACATACTTCTGACATTCCAAGTACCAAATCTCACATCCGTTTTCTTTCGCTTAGGTCGTTCGTTCGGAGAATCCGTCCAGATCCGAGGCCCATTGTGACATTTCGTAACAAGCTAACTTTCTACGGTGAGGAGTTGTCAGTCCATGCTCAACCCCCCATATAGATGACCACCCCCTGTAGGCTGTCCGCGACTGTTTATTTAATGTATTCGCAGCTACCCTCCACATCTCGAGACCGTCTTCTCCATCCGCAACTTGATGGCGCAACATGCCGTAGTGACACTAGACCCCCCCCCC